CAGTAGAATCAGATGACAAAAACCTTGCAACCAAATGGCCATCACTTTGTCCACATGCGGAATGAACTGAAGCACAAACGACATGAACTTGCCAACCTCTGTAATAAGAACATGTGCTGACCGAATCTCCTTTACGGAGAGTTGATTGGAAGCAAGGCTGTGTGCAATTCAGACAACCTGAAAGGCTGCCGCTGCAATGCACGTAGAGAGACTCTTGATGCCCATCCTAGATGCAAAAGTCGCCGAGATCCCGAATTTTACTGCAAGTTCTTGCAGTTTTGCTTTCTCCTTGCCTCCATAGTTGATCTGCACAAGCTTGGAGACAGACACAATGTGTTCTTGAAAATCGACAAAGCGCTTTCCTAGGGGTCGTTTGAAGCTCTGGATCCACTTGTCGACGTCCCCCTCTCCTGATCCCTTTAGTCGGGCTTTGTGATCATTCAGGGCTTCGGCAGGAACACTGTCGATCTTACGCTTGAGGTCACTCTCCCAAGTCTGCGGTGGTGTCCCGGATTGTGGACACGGAGCACTAGATTGCGAGGCAACCGGGAGCTGTGTTTTCAAAGCGGGTTTCGTGGGGGTAACGGGAAGTCCTGCGGCTTGTAACTGTTCACGGCGGCGATTGAGCTCTTCCGTAACTTGAAGGAACTTCTGAGATTGATCGACGCCTGCTGACACCGGCATGTTGTCAAACATGAGCTGAACGATCTTGTCAACCATCGGCTGAAACAGAGCTGCACAATCCGTGTTCTTGTTGGGAATGATTGTAGATGGATTAGCGGCCTGAAAGAGATGCGTAGCAACTGCATCGATGTCAACTTTGCGATCTCGAAGGTTCTTCGTCACTTGCGACATGAACACTGCTTCGGCAACCGTAGCAACTGGCACAACACTGAAAAACTTGCCATGACTCAATGCTCGAAGACGCCAATCTGAAACTCCATGAAACAGGAATTCCTGAACAGGAATGCTGAGTGGGTCTTTTCCTGCGATCCCTTTCTTCCGCGACCACGGGGTGGCTTCGATGGACTTACGAAAGGACAACCCATGAAGCACCGTTGAATCATAATGATCACGATCTGACGCCCATCCATTCGGTAGTGCAGGAACAAGACCAGGACCTTGATGACATGGCATGGGAGTAGACGGCGAAGATGAAGGTGCCGAAGAAAGAGGAGGCGGAGGTAGTGGAGGTGGCTGACTAGCAGGTGCAGACTTGGAGAGGTTGGGATCAGTCCAACTTCCCGAGCTATACGGCTGATAGCGGTGCTGACCCCACGATTGATGGGACCTCCCGTACCCTGTGCTGTTGTCCCACTGCCCATTCCATGCCATGGTTTCAGATCTATCAACAAATCTGAGTACGCGGAATCGCTAACGACACTTCGAATCAAAAGGCTCCGTAGGCAAACAAACCTGCTCAAGTTGCTGCCAAACTGCTACACTTGCACATCGCTTGCACAACTCTTGCATCACACTTGCTCCTCTCACTTGCAGTACCCTTGCACGTCCCTTGCAACACACTTGCACTTCCCTTGCTGGCACAGCTCGCAATCTTAACTGGCATGTTTTCGACACATGTATACGTGCAAAGCAGGTGACAACGGAAGAGACTTGAGGACGTGGCCGGTCAAAGCAGCATGTTGCACTCAGACCCTCCAAAAAACAAGAAGCGCTTCCGGGATGAAACATGAGGAGCGAAAGACCCATCTGCCATCTTTGGCACGGGCAACATCACGAATGTAGCTGCAGGAATGGTCACCTTCGACCCCTCCCATGGGGATTCTTGAGTGGGGAGGTGTGAGGGATCCTTGACGATTAAATGCATGTCCGAAAATGCACACCGGACGCTCACTCAGAATGCCACCGTACTTGGCCGCTGCCTCTTGTGCTTGTTCTGCATCTGAAGTGTGAGCCCTAGCATAGAAGGAAATTGGTGGGGACCACTTGCTGTCACTAGCATCCCACCAAGATGGTCGGATCGCTCCCTCAAGGAGGATTGATGCAGCCGCTGCCACTGTTGTGTTGTGTGCAACAGGAGAACGAGCAATCCCTGCTGCAGAAGTATGCGACCTGATCATGGCCCTCTCAAAGTGGGTGAAGTGGATGCTCAAGCACTTGCACGAACTCGACAAAGAACGAAGCTCCACAGAATGAATGTTTGCGGCTTGGTCAGCTGCTGCAATTGCCTGAGAGACATACTTCAATGCTGTCGAATTGACAGCGTGGGGAGGAAGACCTAACAGGCTGATCAGATAGTCCGCCGTGCTTTGCATCAAAGAGCTGGGAACCTGCAACTCAAGATTGGCCGGTATCTTTGCCGAAATCTCACATGCCGATTTCATACGGCCAGGGCTGGAACTGATCAAGTGACGTAGAGCAGTAAACATGGGGTATAATGCGACCCAATTGAAGCTAGATGAATACACGCGTATCAGCTTCGCTTCTTCATCGCGCACTTCCAACCCACGAAGTTCAGGAATCACGAAGAAGTTTGAATCTTGCTCCCACTCAACTTCCACATGCCCTTTGAGAAGAGATCGATTCTCAAAATGCTCATACGAGTCTTGCAAGGGTCTAACTCGAAAGACGTAAGTCTGGTCCGCACTGAGCTGCCACCCTACGCGATCTGCATGAGTACCAGGAATCTGATCACAAATTGCACGAAGTCGAATGCTGTTAGGGTCAGCAACAAGAGAAACTTCACTTCCAGGAACTTGCCGAAGTCGCTTTGTTGGCTGGGATGAATCATCCGTTTGGTACGTGATGGCTGACTGCTGGCTCTGAACAGATGCTGTTGACTGATTCCGTTGAGAAACAACAGACTGCTGAATGTCAAGCAAATTGTTGAGGCCAGCATACACATCTCTGTGGCCTCGGACATGTGTCAAGTTTGCTGCCATGATCGCTGAGTATTCAGCGAAATCAGCCACCGAACGAAACGACAACCGGAAACCTGCGCCGTCTGCATGAAGAGTGATTGCAGGGGGAACCTCTTGCTGTGGAATCTGCCGATCATTTACAGCACGTGCAGCAATCAAAGTAGGAGTTACATCTGTAGTTCTCGCTCCAACATCGGATGCAGAAGGGACCGGCAAAGAAGAAGATGAGGCAGGCGCCGGGCAAACTGCAAGAGTGGGGGGTGGAGGGGGGAAGGCGGGAGGGGGAAGGGGAGGGGGGGGTGGAATCCACTTCGCTGTGGTACCACGGGCGGGGGCAGAAGGGGAGGGGGAGGCACAGGGAGATGGGGGAAGGGGGAGGGTGGAGGGGGAGGAGGAGGTGGGGGAGGAGGGGGGGGGGTTGATGTGCGGGTACTGCGTCTCTTTCCTGAAGAATCCATGGCAAACTGATCAGCAACTACCCAGAAGTACAGCTCAGATACTCGGTTTGTAGCCAAAGACCTGCGACAAGTCAACGAAAAAGTCAGATTCGGGAAAGTCGATTTGATCATAGACAGTCAATGGGAAAGTCAGCATTCAGGTTTCGGTAGAAGCAATCGGTGAAGACTCATTGAGAAAGTCCGCTTGCAAGCACGGATATAGAATCAGGGAAAGTCATCCAATGCTTATACAGTCAATCGGGAAAGTCAACGCCAGAGCTACCTCTGGGAGACACGGCGCCCATAGGGAATGCCGTTGTGAAGCACACTTGACACATCGTGTCGCAGGTCTGATCTGTCAGTGCATACTGTCAGGAAAAGTCAGCAGCTCGAAGCAAGCCCTCACTCAAACACAGCTCTGAGTCACACCTGAATGATCAGATTGCAGCAACCATGCAGGAAACTCGACAGTGGCAAACGTGAAGCTGTCACTCTAGTGTTGGTTACTCCAGTGCCTCAGGGGGCCCACTGGCTCATCCGAAAGCAGGTACACAGTGGTGATCAGCCTCTGCATCCACTCCAGTGATTTGGCTTCGTTGGGCAAGGCTAATCACTGGAGCCCTTGCCCCCCTGCATGACACACAATCGACCCTTCGGAACAGGGATGGACACACACACACACACACACACACACACACACACGTGCTCAGAGGACAGAGGCGCAACAAACGATTCAGTAGCTGAGCCCGTCACCCTTTGCAGTTCGTCGTGCGCTTCATCAAATCCAGGCACAACCTCGAAGCTTGGGCGGCATCTTTAATGACTAAATCCGTGCTGCTCCTCGATACAGCGATCGGAGGCATGCAGGGCATGTCTACGAGTACCGCAGGTGCAACACTGGTCTGAGAAACCAGCTTCAGGGCATCGATCTTGAGATTGACTTTTTCCGTCTCGGCCAGGTGATGAAGTTGGTGAAACCGAGACGTTTCTCCCGCTTTCGAAGGAACCGCGCTCCGGTGGCCTGCGTTGCAATAAACTGCAACCGCTGGATGGCACCATGCGTCCCATACCTGACTCCACGAAGTTCGGCACCGTGCATGGGTCTTTGCAGGGATGCACGGCACGATACCTTGCGAGGCTGAGTGCCGAGCTGGCCACTGTATGAGTCCAGATCCTCTGAGAGTAGCGATGCCTGAGAAAGCAGAAACATAGATATTGTGGACACCCCTGGCACAAGTTGCAACAATCGCCGTATCTGCATCTCGATAGGTTGATTCGTGGCAAAGCTGGGTAGATGTTCAAGAGCACTGCAGGCCCACAGCTCTTGACAGAAGCTCAGCTTCGCACCGCCATTGCGCAAAACGCAGTTACCGATGGCTATCAGCTTTCTCGATGCATGCTCTGCTGGAAGATATTGGCTCATCTTCACAAGCACTCAAGCATTGGTATAAGTTCTTGTTGCTCCGGCTGCTGGTGCGAGCGCGTGGTCAGCCTGAACGGCTCTTGGCTGTCCCTGAGTCGTGGTACAGCGCACTACCGTACAGCTGCTTGACAGATAGCCAGAAACAGCAGATTCAGTGAGAACAGGTGAGCATGCTTTTGAGGTGTGGCAGTTGCTCATGGCATTAGAACTGTGAGATAGGTCCCCTGGCAAAGGCAAAACGCACACCGGAGCGTGGCTCTACAACCATGCCAGTTCGACTTTCTGGCTGATGCAAACAGCCAGGTCTCCAGGCCTTGATGCGAGCAGTTTCAGTGGCCGAACCGCTTTTGGCGAACACTTTTTCTCAAGCCCGTCAAAGTATCTGGCTGGTTGTCCTTATGACTGTGGTTGCCAGCGCCCTTGAAGATGATCCTCGCATCACGAAATAAATTTACGGCCAGTCGTGACGCTCAACGACAATCGGACCTCATTCCGGCTTGCCAGCCCGGTCTGATGGGAAGCGTCACTGGCTTCTTCTCCTCAGTCGCATGTCTGCCATCTGTTTCAAGGAGATGTTGGTGTAGGTCGGTGGGCCCTGGGGCCCTGGGGCCCTGGCCTGGTACGGAATGAAGCCCGGGCCCAGCCTTGTTCGCTCCACCACCACGCACCTGCCACTACGGAAGCGCAGAGCTGACACTGCAAGCCCGAAATGTCCCGAACCTGGTGCTGCCCTCCTTGAGCTCGCCAAGGGTGCATTCGATCTGCGCTTGACGAGCTGCGGAGGTGAAGAAATCAACATCCCGACGGCTGCAGAAGGCCTCCATCTCGATCGTCGGCTCCTTCCACGAATACAACATGAACTGCGATGCCAAGGAAGCATGTTGCGCAGGTGCAGGCTATCTTGGCGAAGTCCTTTGGCATGGAGGGCAGCACTGGAAGGTCTTCCAATTCCGGCTCGTACCTGCAAAAGACATCTTGTGAGCACGACGACATGCGCCCGCACTTTCGCTGCGACGCGCACGCCACGCTCAAAGGGTCGGCAGAGGAAAAGAACTGGTTGAAAAGCTCGAAGGGATCGCCCACATACCTCTTACGCCACACACGCGCACACGCAATGTTTTTGCTTCGCCGCTCATGTCAACAGACATCCCGAGCATGGCTGCAAACGAGTCCAAGTAGCTGGTAAGGCTCGAAATCTGCGTCGTGAGGCGGGTTCCTGGTGGTTTTTTCTATTCCAGCGCAAATCCCCGAGATGTGACTGCGATCCCTTTCAACCCCTACCACTTGCATGCGAGAGTCTTCAAGCCGACCTCTCCATGGGCATCGAACCTTGGCGAGACCACGCAATGCTGTGAAGCTGTCGACGAACCTCGAACCTTCGTCAACTAACTACCAGTACCGAATGTCTGAGCTTGCATCTGCTGTCGTCTCAGCGGATCTATTAGCACCTGAGCACTGCATGTTCTGTAATTACAGATTGCATATACGAATGTACCCACTGCAAATGTCTCCACTATCTCTACCCACACTGACTAGAAGTACTTGCATGCAGAGGCGCATCATAAGCTTCTGCAATGTCCCGGAAGCGCGACTGCGCCTCTACCTGGTAAAGCATCCCTTATCCGACACGTTTCCAAGACAATGCAAGGCCTTCTTCGGCTATTGCAGTAGACGGCTTCCTTTACTAGTCAGTGTACTGGGGGCCTTCGCACCCGGATTCTTCTGCGGATGCCACTTTGCCGCAGCCTCCGCTCGTGCCGAAATACGCAGCTGCCAGCGAGGCACGCAAGCGGGAGTGCACAGCACCCACAGGGTCCCCGCCCACTGGTATCCCGAGCGAATTTGCCGGGTTGTTGCGGATCGAGGGATATCCAGCAAGGCATAGTAGTCCCGCCTGAGCCCAAACAAACAACTAGCGCGCTCTGAAATGCCAGTCACCTGAGTTGCGAGCGCCATGTCCAAAAGCTAGAAGTGTCCCTCCGTGCCCTTGCCAGGAACTGAAAAAACGCATTCGAGTGCACGCGCGGCACGAACACGAAGAGTGCTCCGGTTAGGCCCTGGCCAGGCAGCGGAGGCTCTGGGCTTCGAGTATCGGACCGCTGAGAGCCAAAAGCACCAAAGGCAAGCTTGCCAAAGCAAAAATCATCGGGCCAAGGACTCCAAGAGGCCATGAGCGAAGTTACACCGTGTGTGTCCCAGCACAAGCTCTCGATGCTGTGCTCCTCCATCTTGCAACTGGCGCGGACGTCGCGAGCCATTTCCTCGATCTCTTCCTGCGGGACCATGAGACATGCACTCGTTTCAAAGCAAATCTGCCCAACTTTCCAGCTAGTTCCGTGAGAATCGGATCTGCACTTGTTCGTACCCGCCACGGGCAGCACGATCAGCACAGGTCGCCTTACCCCTGCTATTCCTAGCAGGACCTCCAATGTCAACCGCGGCTTCCTCTGAGCTGTCTTGGTTCTTGACTTGACTCCGCCACCTTTGCCCGAGCTCTCAGACTTTTATGGATGTGGAAGCGATCCTGCGCACGCTTTCCTGGTCTGCTCTTTGGGCTCACTTGTGGAGCCATGCTATGCGATTTGCTGCGCAGTTCACCCTGCAATGCACGTGGTGCTCAAGAGTGATCGAGCTCGGGGTCGGCTTCTTCTTTATTGGGTTCCTGCCCCGGAGAACAACTGGCAGGTCTCTGCAGCCATACCCTGCAAGCGCAAACGGGACCTGATCAGCAGCGGCGGCGGCTATGGAGGCTGCCGCGGCTGAGGCCGCACTGGCTTCCAAGAGTTCGGTGAGGCCTCAGCACTGCAGCTGCTCTGTGCTACAAGTACAACAGCCTTTGAGAGACATCTCGCAAACAGGGCATATGTCAGAACCGTCAGGACAACGGGCAACGGGTGTAAGCTTTTCGCTCCGGCGCGCTTCCCTGAGCTTCGTGGTAAGCACTCGCTCACGAAGGACTTTGGCCTTCGGGAGAAGAGGCATGGCTGCCACTGGAACTTGCACCACGTGTGCTCAAGTGCCCCTCAGCCGCAGGCGACACGTTGGATCGGCGCCAAGATGCCAGCAGCGACCTGGAATAGGAGCATGTCCTGTGACATTGATCGAAGTAAAGTGCGCCAGCATCTGGGATGAAAACCCGTCGACTTTGATCTGGTCGCACATCGGATAGGGCGTTGGTCTGGACGAGGGTCTTGACCCACTGGCCGCAGCTGCGTGGATTCTGCAGTTCCCCTCGTCCCCCACCCACCCTTGCACAAGTACGGCGTCCGAGAGGCAGAGCGTCGACTTCGCGGCAGCGGCCCAACGTGAGTGTCCAAGATGCCCTGCACTTGTCTGTGGCCGTGCCTACACTCACAGCCTGATCGACTGATGCGCACACCGACTGTTGGGGCCGAGGGTATCCGCACAATCATTCGGACAGCAGATCTAGACCCTGCTCAGGCGGCAACATTGCGCAAGGTCCGCCCTAACACCAAACCCTTTAACTTTCGCCTCGTGGCTCTCAACCCAGCTATGCGCTGGAGAGCCTTGGCCTTTTCTGTGCTTCAGTCAAACTCTTCATCTCCTGGTACTAAGCCCTTAACCCCCACGAACAGCAGGTACGCCCGCTCAACTCAGACACACGCGGTTTCTTGCGAAAAAACCTAAGCCTCACATTGTTGAAGCAGGACCAAGGCCTTAAACCTCTGAACAAATACGAACGGAGGCCGTTGCTTGATGACACCCCTCCAAACACCCCCGCGCCCATCACCGATCCCCTCTGCGGGTCCTCCCTCACAGCACCCTCAGGGTTGAGGGGCAACTTCGAAGAATCAACTTTGCTATTCAGGATTTACAGGCACTGAAACTGCGACGGTGCTGCAAATCTTTCAGCCACCAGCAGCTCACAACGTGAAAGTCACACCGTCATCCCTCCGCTTTGCAAGAGATTGAGCCGCTGTCTGAGTCTTCGAAGGCTTCTCAGACTGTTGCTTGCTTGCATAGGTCGTAATGCACAGGGACGAAGTGCTGACTGGCTTCGCAGCATGTCACTGGCCAGAAAAAGACACATGGACTGACCTCTGCATCTGCTAGTAGGCAGCCATAGACGATCGCCCTGTGTTGGAAGCCCTGGCCGAAACAGCTGGGACTTCTGCGCAGCTAACTTGTTCGCTACTAGGCAGAATGGCAAGTCTTGCGAGAACCATGCCCAGCCTTCCACTCTGCCTGATCCAGCAACACCTACAAAATGCTGCAAAACAAGTCCTCACTTAGAGTCGCCTCATCATTAAAGCTGTCATCAGAAAGGTCGAAACGAGGCTTGCACTGCATCGATTCGAAAATCATTCTCAAAGTCCTTCCAGGCTTAGCAACAGGTATCAGGTGTTCGCAGATCTCTGGCCTTGATTGCTCATTGTCGACTCTCCGGGCGCACCTCGTTGGACCCCGAGACGACCTCGAAGTCTTCGTCCTGGGCCGTGGCCAAGCCGTAGTGTCAGCGGCAACGTGGGCCGAAAGCAAAAGCTCCGAGCAAAGTCTTGCGACTCCAGGCTTGCGAGGATGGCCATGGCGTGCATGGCCTCCTGATACAACCGTCAAAACCCGAGAGAACATGAAAAGATGAAAAGAGGCACAAGAGGCACTGCTGGCACTGCCTGGAGCTCCGCCTCGATCACGTGCACGGCACCACTCACAGGCTGGCACAGAGCCTCAGACGGCGCAGGCAGTGCTCTGTGAGAGGCGCTCCAAGAAAGGCTCCTTTCTTAGATGCGGCCCTGCAGCTGCCCAGTCGCTGTGCGAGAAGAAGTCGCTGGCGTACTGAAGGAAGGTCGACCTGCCTGAAAGCTCGGCCGTGAAAAGCTCAGTCGTACTACGGTTGATGATATAAATCCTGCATGACCCGTAGTAAGGGATGTACCACAATTCCCATGGTTTAGGGCCCTTAAGGTAATGCAGGATTTTTATCATCAACCGTAGTACTTGTAGTGGCAAGATAGAAGCGTGAACCGGCCTGGTGGAGAGCTGTCGGTGGGGCTGGGATCCGGATCCCCGATGGCCTCTGCGAAAGCACACGCCCGATGCAGATGCTGGAACGCGCGGCACAGCTTTCAAAGCCGTTCTGAGTGAAACTCCAAAGCGCGCTCCAGCTGCTGCTTCTGTGTCGCCAGCGCCTACAGGTGCCATGTGTTCGCACCGTTGTTGCGCAAGCTGATGTCGTCCCTTTCTTTGGTGCCTCCGGGACAGTGCCCAAGGTGCGATCAAGGGCCAGCCGTTTAACCAGGCCTCTCAACAAGGGCGGCAATGCAAAACTGGCAACCCTCAAGCCCCCACCGAAACCGAACGGGCCTCTGACCGCGTATCCCCACAGGACACCTCAGCTTCCGTCTCATGGGAACCGACACATCTGCAGCATTTCATGCCGGGCTGCGGGCCTAAGCAATACCTCGGAATCGGAATCGTCAAGCTCAAGAAGAAAAGGGCGAGATCATGCTAGATCAGCACAAGCTGAGCAACTGTATGCTCGCATGTTGGGGCGATGTCGAAATCATCACCCTGGCAGACACATGAGCCCAGATCCATGTTGAATCCTAGGATGCACGTCTCTGTCTGGCATTGCGAGCTGCGCACCCATCGAAGGCGACGTTGTCTTCGTCAGACAGGCTCTTTTCCTCGCCCCACCTTTGTCTCAGCACTAAGTGGCGGAACACACACAACGTCTGCACTTCACACTTTTGCAAAATATTACGGACCGTGAGCTTAAACTGGTAGATGGAGCTCTCTCGTCTACCTACTTTCTCAGGAGGTTGAGCAGGCCAGCGAGCAAGAACTTAGACCACTCGAGCCATCCACCCATCTTGCATCCGTGCCGCGTGGCAGAAACGTAGGCCTCTACCACCCTCTGGCTCTCATCCCGGCTCACCACCTCCACGCAATCAAGGCAGCAATTCAAGGACCCAGGCACTTCTTTGCTCAGCATCCGGCTGAATGAGGAATGCCAGCTAAAGCTGCCTTAAAGCAGTCTCCGAAACGAAACTCTTCACAAGGATGTCCAGTTCAATCCGGGGAACTGTCACAGCGTCCTCAGCCTTGAGGCCAGGAACACTGGCCTGCCGGCAATTGAGCCGCTAATGAGCCCGAAGATGTATGGAAATGAGTATGACGATGTCCATCACTCGACATGTTTTCCAAACACGTGCGGCATGAATATCAGGTTTTGCCCGAAGAAGCTGTTAAGGAAACTTGATGTTCCACTGGATCTGGTCGACTTCGCCCGTCCACGGACGGTCCGGCCGATTGCCTTTGGAGGCACGGAAAGGTGACCTTTTTCAATTCATGTCGAGGACCCGTCTTGCAAGGCAAAGGCAGAATCGGAAGATTGGCGATTCGAAGGACCGGTTGCTTCGGTGTTGGCAGGTACGCCTGGCGCTGCATCCCAGCCGCAGCGAACCTCAGGGTCCTCCGGTCGAGTTGCGGCGGATCCGCAGAAGGAACCAAGATAACATACTGTGGCCGTGTCTGTCTACGGTGTCACCTACAAGGCGCTTGCCGCCATCAAGATCATCGGCAGTGGCGATGGTGGTTATGATGATGGCGGTGGCGGGAGGCGATTTCCACCCACAGCATCATCCATCCGTCTACACCCACTGAAGCTCAAGGCGCATGCACGGAATCGAGCGAGCCGGGCCGAAAGCACTTCGACACAAGAGCTGCCCATGTCCCCCCCCCATACCTCAGGGCTTCCTCACCGCCGTAGCCGCGTCGTCGTTTCGAGTGCTGCTCTTCCACGGCGCGTGATCATTTTCGAGACGGCGTAACAGAGGGCAGGATAACCAGGGCATGCAAACATACTACAGTTACCAGTGCTGACAGCAGCAAACAAGCTCACTTCTCAAGGACCCTTTTTGTCTCACAGCAGCTTGGATTTGATCCTCAGCTCCACACATTCCAATGTGCGCTTGCATGGGTCCCCCACTTTGACTGAGACAAGAACTCCGTGAGCTGCGAAGAGCTCCAGTCTTTGCTGGCACGTGACCTCGCTGAGCCGATAAGCACTGCTTCGCTGGACTCTCCGCGGCAAGTCCTGCTGCTACTTGCAACGCCCGAGCTTCTTACCGCGCATCGCTCCAGACACACTTGCTTGTACGCAGTGACCTGCGGCACTCCCGGAAAACAGAATAGGTTGTGGCGGCGGTGGCACTGCTTCGAGGCTGAGAGCTGCACATCCACCGCCACTTCAGCTGCACACGTATCCTGCCCCTGACACACGAATTACACCGATGGCAATCGCACATCTCAGGCGTAACTCCCCTCACAAGCCGAGCCTGTCCACAAGCGAAGGGTCGTAGAGTGGAAGCTGAGGTTCCTCGCAGAGCACGGCTCTCGCAGGCAAGCTCTGCTCGAGTTCCCGACAAGTCGCTCGTGGGAGTGAACTGCGCCACCCGCTCGGAGCAATCCCGACCTCGATATCTAGAGTTAGAGTCTTCAATGATCCGGAAGAGAGTCCAGACAGAGCTCCGGGCTGCATGCAGCATTGCAAGCAGCTTCAAACTTCTTTGAGTTCGGACCTTCCGATCCGAAACAGAGGCGCGGTGGCATGTGGAAGCGGATGGAGGGCCCAGGGAATCGGCTCTTTGACTTGTGCTCCATCCACAGCTTGAAGTACTTGCTCCTTACGGAATTACAATCTTTAAGGCTTTGCGCATTCTGCTCGGCTGTTGCATCGCCTGTTGGCATAGAGCTCAAGCACTTTGCTCTCGGTGGGAACTTGCAAGGGTTGCAAGCCTCATCCAGCGAACACATGCCAGAACAAGTCGCAAGCGGATCGCCCCCGCTTCTCTTTGAGCTGGGCACCGCTGATGGCTTCTGACTTCAGGATGAAGAAGGAAGGGTAGCGGTTGACCTCGCCTCACAAGGCAGCTCGACGATCATGGCAGAATTCTGGGCTCATGGCCACCAATCCCGTGCGGCTCCATCTGAAAGATGATCTTGGCAGGGTGGCAGGGCTGAGGCGCTGAGGCCTTTGCGCACGATGAAAGTCGAACCATCGACGCCAGGCAAGACCTGGTCGAAAGCAGTTTTGGCGTTGCAGAGGCGTTCCCGTTCCATGACCGGGGCACGAGCCGCTTGCAAGGCCGCAAGCCAGAAGAAATCGCCTTCTGGAAACTCTCCGTCCACGAAGTCATGGCCTCGCAAGGCTGTTGCCATTAGAGGCTCACAAAGCCCTAAAACCCTTAAGGCTCCAACCGGCAAAGATCCCTCCAGTTCGCACCTTTGGCCACCAGGCCTTGGAAAGGACTCGGGCTGCCTAGTGTTTTTGGCCACAACTCCTGGCGGTCAATTATTGCTCGCATCTTAAGCGTGATCAAACAAGCATGTTGGAACAAGCTGATGACCCCCTTCCGAACCAGAACAATAGCAACACCAAAGCAAGAGACGCTAGTCAGGGGGGAACTGCTTCGCACTGAGAACAACCACCAACAGCAGAAGTTGCGTTCTGTCCCGAATGATTGAATTGCATCCCTGGCTGGTATCCCAAGATGTGCGAACACCTATGCTTTTGCGAAAAGTCCATGCCTGAATACGTCCCGCCACTTTCATGCGTCTGTGGCCCACGGCATGTATGTCTGCCACCACACCGGCAAAGTCATGTCGTGCATCGAGGTAAACCTCAGAGCGCTGCCCGAGCATGTACTAGCGCACTAGTACCTCGCACGTGCAAGCCCCAAAGCTTAGCAAACGCACTTGCCATCCTTCTGAAAGGCTTTTTCTCTGAGGTTAAGCATGGAAACACGAAGATTTGCTAATAAGGGGTTGGTTCCTAGATGAGGTCCATGCTACTGCAAAGAAGGTCAATGCAGCTACGAGAAGCTCATCAGCTGGACCTTCCCATGCGACTTGTAGCTTCGTGGGATTTCGCTGGACACATTGGCATCGACATGCTGTGCCACCCGCACATTGTGAAAGGAGGAAACGAAGAAGATCTTCCTGGACGCGTATTGTCGGTACAAGGGCAAGTATAGACTCGCTACGCTGCGATGCAAATGGAGGACTCCGGCTCCTGAATTGCATTCACATGCGCTTTGCCGAAAGAGTGAGAGTTTCCTGAGTGTCACCCAATTCGAGGGAGTAGGCGAAGCCAGCTGGAGCCTTTAAAATCTGCACGGTCATCCCAGCGATAGCTTTGGGCACTTCGAAAGCATGTTGCCCAAGTAAGTGGCTACTTTTGGTAGCAGCTCTTTCTCTGAGTCGCTGATGTATTTAGGATGAAGGCCGCAGACTGCGTGCTTTGAAGGTCGACTTTTCGAGAACTCGAACTGATGAGTCGTTGGATAGTGGTCTTGGGACGGAGGACAGGCAGGATCCAAGACTTCGCCGATGACGGACACGCTCTGGAGGAGTCTTCGTGGCAAGCGAGTGCATCGGACTTGCCGGCGGGAGGAGGCGAACTCTTTACGTCTGCAAGATCCTGATGTGGCCTTGGAATTACAAAACCGAACATTTAGTTTTTGAAGTTTCCTGTGCCGCAGGTACACCGGCGTCATCTGTATTGATGACCATAGAATCCAATAGAATTGCACAACCATCGCGAAATCGCATTTGCTATCTCGAGCGCAATTGCCGGCCAGCTTCCCGACCTTGTCAGCAGTGCCCATTTCAGCAAACTACCTGCCAGATGTTGCTTGGTTGACCAAGCACTTCAGGAGTTGGATGCCAAAAGGCGGGTGCGTTACAGAGACCTGCGTGACCAGGAACATTCTATCTTTGTTGCAGTGTTCTTATTACGGCTATGTATGTATATATGACATCGCAAGAGCTTGTGCTCGGTGCGTTGCACATGTCCTTGCCGACTAAGAAAGCCCATTTACACCCAGCATGTTGACAGAATGCCGGTCGAAAGACACAGTTTTTGCTAACAACCGGCAACCGAGCGCGTGGCAAAGCAGGTTTAGGATTTCTGCATGGTGTGTAACTTAGCCCAGCCTCACGCTATTGCACCTTTGGCAATGCATGGAAGCAGATCAGCCTCCCTCCCGTGTCCATGTCGTTGGTCGCTTGGTTGGATTCAGTCCCGGTGACATGCCGTGTCTCCCTGCAGATCACGAAAGACATATCTTGGCAAATAACCACAATCACGGACAGTAAGTATGTCCACCGCGACCCATGCCATGTGGCAAACGGCACGGTCTGTGGCCGCGGCAAAGTCTAGCTCCCCGTCTGCGATCTGCGAAGCTGCGTAGGCACTGTCCTGGGGACGGAAGCTTCAATCGAAGCACACTGCTTCTACATTGGACCCGGTACATGCGAGTGAGCAAATTCTAAACCCAGCACTTGACTGGAATCAAGTATTGCATGCCATCCCATGCACATACATCTGTCCGCTTCGGAGTGAGCTGCTTTCGGGACCGTGGGGCATGTTTGTTCGCGAAGTTCCTTGAGACCGTCCGAAATCTCCAGAAAGTTCCCTCAGGACCTCATGAGAAAGGGTCCCTTAGTTGCTGCATTACCTTGAACCTAGCCTGAGGATGCTGCAAACCGGGGCTCAATCGCCGCAAGGCAACATCTGCGATGCCTGTCAAACCTGAGGCCAGGACGAGGTTCAGGATCTCGGCACGGCCTGAACCTGCAGTCTCACAGGATCTCACAGATGGACTGTGTTGGGTGAGCCAGGACCGGGGTCCGTACGCAACGACCTGGCAGGTACGGCACAGCACCGAACTTGAGATGTCAGCATCACAGTGTCACAGGTCGGCAGGACTCTTCGAGTCGTCTTTCGCACTGAAGTCGGTGCTGCCTTCGGTTTTCAATGCTCATGACAGAGAGATCTTCAGGACTAGGGAGGACAGGGCTTCTTGGCATCGTTGCCGTGCACATTGGCTATGTCGACATAGAAGAGATTGTCTGGTGCCGCCTTTCACTCAGCATAATGAGCAGATCTGGGCAGAGTGCAAGCTACCGGCACAGGCCTGCTGACCCCAAAGGTCGACGAGACGCAGGCCTGAGTCTAAGCTTCTACATGCTCCACCGGCAAAGCCACGGATGCTGCATTTGGGCTCTGTCGTTTGCCGCTCCAGCTTGACAGAAAGTGGTGAGCGTGAACGCCGGCCTGAACGCCGACCTTGTGGCGATTTAATCCTTCGACACTTTGATGCCCTAGGGAAGTTGCGGCTGGCCTCCACGGCTTCGTCAACCAATCCAAGGCCTTTGCTGCGACTCTTTACACAGGAGCCGGATCAAGTTTGTGGATCTGCGTGCCCCGCAGTTCAGCAAGCTGGGCAGCTCTGAGCGAGACTGTGGGAAAGCTTGGAGACACGGCCTCGGCAGCATGGGGATTTTATGGGATTTTGTACGCTGCGGCGGCAACTGGCGACGACGATGACGGCTGGGAGCCCGGCTCCTGCGGCTCCTGCCAGCCTTCTGCGGCTTCCGAGGCCGAGGCCTCGGCCAGTGCTCTCTTAACCCATGCTTGGACTTGGATGGTTACAGGGCCCCAGGCACCGTGAAGCCATGCTGCAAGGGACACAGACACGCCCCGCATTGAATGCAGACTCTCCACAGTTATGACCCTGATCCTGTTGTCTACGGTAGTCTGCGTGACATGGGTGGGTCCATGCATTCTCTTGTGTGCACGTGAAGTCTTACAGCTGGTGCATTGCCAAACAACAGCCGTGGCGATTGTGGATCTCAGTCTCGAGACTGGTCTGCGTTGGCGAACAGCGACCATGCTCTGCTTGATCCAGCTGGCAGCGACGGCAGAGTTGGACAGCTCATGAGGGCAAACATGGTGCTTAACACCTGCGCGCGTTTGGGACATTGGATGCGAATGCCCAACTGTTCTTTAGGCCGTGCCGTGCTGGTCAACAAGCCGCCACGAGCACATACACACACACACACACACACACACATACGCACACTCTCACACACAAACGCACACTCTCACGCCCACACATGTTTTGAAGAGCTCAACAAAAATCTCGAGCCTTGCTGAGGAACGTCGCCGGCCAAGCATCTATGCCGATGTCGACACCCGCCTTTCAAAAGTCGCCAAGCGCCAAGCTCAGAGCCATCCCCTGACATCTCGCTATCACGCAAGACTGAAACACTTTTGGAAGCGTAGCGGCAGGCGGCGAAGTGCAAACGAAATCGCATTCCAGATCGAAACATCTCAGACATCGATGGGAGCGAATCGTTGCGTATCACCCCACCACTCCAATATGTAAGAATAAATACAGGGTGGTGTGGGCGGGCTGAAAAGCTTGAAAGAACCTCGAGCGGGCAACAGCTGCGGTTGTCTGCTGTTGCCGCTCGTACATGTCACTCCGTGCACACGTGCACTACACGACATCTCGCTATCACGCAAGACTGAAACACTTTTGGAAGCGTAGCGGCAGGCGGCGAAGTGCAAACGAAATCGCATTCCAGATCGAAACATCTCAGACATCGATCGGAGCGAATCGTTGCGTATCACCATAGGTGTGCCGCCTGCACCATCAAAGCACACCGGTAGCCCTAAACCTCTCAGAGCCCGTCAGAAGCTCTTCGAAAAGACTGTCCCAATCTCGCTGTAGTTCGATCCAACCTTCGGCTCGAGCGTGGCGAAGATCACCGCGGCTGACGGAGTCGCTGACGTTGGCTGACGACGTAACACGCTGCCATGCTGGGCGAAAGGATTGTGCTTCCAAGAAGCGCCATGCATGTTGTAGCAAGCAGTTGATCGACTCATCCTTGCCAAAGCCTCGGGTGAGAGCGTGGCGTGCGGGTTCGTTGTCCACGAAGAGCATGACGTGTCGGTCGAGCTGGTCCTCCATGGCGAACAGAGGCAAGATCTGAGCCACGATCTCGAGCATGTATATGTATGCCCGGCGACTTGTGAATGCTCGCACGAACCAGTACGGTACTCTTCCGTGAGCGAAGTAGGTCTGTCCCTGAACGGTAACCACAAAGCCCCATCCGTTGCGGAGCGTCTCCGGGGGTGTCCTTCCCCAGTTGGGAATGTCCTCGTCGGAGGGTTTCCAGTCCTTGTCGAAGAGGTTGAAGAACGCGTCGGCGTAGAGGACCGAGTGCGCCTCTTTGTCGAAAGGAAAGACCTTGGGCGTTGCGTGCCGCAAGCTCCACCGTAACAGTCCGATCCCGTGGCGAAGCGGTCCATCGAGTCTCCAATCGCGATGATGACGACCAGCGCCTGTGAGTCGAGCTCTGCGAAACAGGGGCCGAAGAGCTGCAGCGTGCGAGCGACCTTGAAGTGACTGACAGTAAAACTGTAGTTTCCCCGCGAGGCTGGCTGCGTCGTGGGGTCTCAAGCGGTCCTGGGTGAGCACGTCCGCGAGCGCCTCGTCGAGCCTCTGTCGTCGCTCTTCTGTGCCCTGCACTGTGACGGACTCGTGGGACACGAGAATGTCGACACCTTGGATGACCTGTCGCGGGGCCGGCGGTTGCTCCTTAGACTGCTTAAAAGAAAAACCCAAGGCTTTGCAAAGTCGACGCGAAGCATCGAAGGAGGAGTTGGCGAGCGTGGTGACCTCTGCGCTGCCGAAATCATCGACAAAGTGTAGCGCGGGCGTGAAAATGCATGCGCGGCATAACCAGCCCATGAGGTCCGCTATTCTGCAATAGGACCATACACTCGCCACTGACCCAAACATTAGAACTGTATGGCGCCAGAGAGTCACTCCTTCGGGCGTCGCGAGAACCACGTAGGTGTGCGACGGGTCGAGCGCTGGAAGCTGTCTGTAGGCCGACTCGTGATCAAGGCCCCATATGAGGATCTCAGCCTGCGGGTCGATCTCCTTGATGGCGCGAACCAGCTGCACGTAGGAGTTGACGTCGTGGTACGGCGGGGAGTCCTCCGCTGCGACCGTGGCGTTAGCGAAGGAACGTCTCCAGTCCTCGGCGCGGCGTACTTTGGGGCGCCCATCGGACCCGACCTGGTGGACTGCGAACGCGAAGCACGTCGGCTGGTGTTCGCCTGGGCCCTCGAGCAGCTTGCTTGTGTGCTCGTGCGATGCGAGCGGCACTGCGCTTTTGGGCCAGTCCGAAGGGCTGGTGAACGGACCTTCCATGCGCCCGAGTGACACATCGGCGGCTATCTCGTCTGCCATCTGTTTCCAGCAGGGGTCGACGCGGCATCGACGAAGCTTGTCGACGACGTACTGTTTGTTCTTGACCATGAACTCCGCGAGGTCCAGAGGGTTGGCGTAGCGGTCGTCGTTGCGTCGTTTCCAGCCGAGTCCTGGAGCCAGAGGTCCTAGAAGTCGAAAACCATGTGTGAGCTCGTCGAAAATGCCAAGGTCCTGCCAACCAAACAGTTCACAGATTCTGCGAAGCGCGGGCAGCTGCAAGGTGCACACTCCTGTCGTGCTCCGGTAGGCCTTCTGTACGTGAGGGCGGAGGCTCTGGTACCAAGACCTGGTCTCGTCTTCCATGTCCACAACCATCTCTTCGACCTGTTCCACGACTGCGAGGCGTAGTTCTGCCAAGTGGGCACGCATCTGGAACCAAATGCGAATCCACTGTTGCAAACCGGGCTCCATGAGTGCGTCGCGGTGGTCCGGATGGGGCATGTGTCGTGACAACTTCCAGTGCTCCGCGGGGTCCTGCAGGTAGGAGAGGTCAAAGGAGTCGTAGTCGCCAGGTCCCGGGCCTAGGAGTGGCGGGCGACCTTGCCACAAACCAGCTGCTATGTCGAGTGCGGTTCCCCCTAGCGGGTTGAGCTCCTTGTCCGCCTTTGCGGGCGTCGCGGCAAACATGGCCATGATGAAGATCAGGCGCGCGGCTCCAGCGTGCCAGCCATTGGCTAGCGCTTTGTGGCGCTCGTGCTCGGAGAGCTTGCTGGTCCAACCTTGTGGCAAGTGATGCCATTGCTCCTTCACCGATGGTGGAGGAATCACGAAGCGGCCTTGACTGTCCGCCATCATGACACCTGCTTCGTAATGCCAAGGAGCGAATCGTTGTCGATCGGCACGCCATCGTTGATTCGCTTCACTGCTGATCTTGCCCTTACTGCTGCGTGGAGCGGGGCGTCCTTGTGGGTCGTCTGAAGGTGTTGTGAGACACGGGAGCGGCTTGCCCTCCTCGACCAGGCACCTCGGCAAAGAAAGTCCTTCGGTCTTAAAAGCGTGCGGGTCGTCCTTGACGAGGTCGAAGTGCACTCGTGGGATGCCTTGCATAGTCGTCCACCGAATGCGAAGAGGACAATCGGGTCGATGGGCGATTTCCTGCCATGGCACCCTGCACCACCAGACTCTTGGTCGGGATATGGTGCCGAAGTCTGCGGCGTCATGGACCACGGCGGGCGAGTCGAGGGACTTCTCGATCTTGCGCATGTCCGCTCTGTTCTGTGGGATGACGTTCTCCACCACGACGACGGCGCGAGGTCTTTGCCATCTCTTTTCCAAATCCACCACTAGCTGGGCGAATCGAGCGAACTTGGATCCCTCCGTACCTTGGTGACCAGGCGCGTCTGAGCGAATGCGTGAAAAGTCATGACATGGAGGGCCTCCTGCTATGACCACAGTCGCTCGTCCCGCGGGGTCAAGCTCCTGAACCAAGTTGTGCAAAGACTCGGGCGTCTCCTGGTCGAAGTCGCCACGTTGCACCACTTCAGGGAAGTGGTCTTGTAACAGCTTCTTCAAGTTGGGGTCGATCTCCCACGATGCGCCACGCCACTGGAGACCATTGCTGCTGTAGTACTCGTCGCAAATCAAACAAGCGGTGCCGAGGCCATCGAAGAAACTGAGCATGACGATGTCGGGCGGGCGATCGCCGTTCTTGATGCGGATGGTCTCGGCCTTGCTGCGGAGCGTCACTGGCTGAGGTATCTTTTGCTTGTCGTCGTCGGGAGATCTTCGGGAGCGGGGCAATGGCGACCTCGAGCGAGCGAAAACTTGGCTGTCTTCGCTTTGCGGTGGGCCGGGTCCACCCCTGTGGGATGGCCCGTGCTGTCCCTATTCCTGCTGCTGCCATTGCCTGCGGCTGTCGTGCTGCTGTCGCCAATCAGTCTGGCGCCATTGCGATCTGTCGTCGTCGTGCTGGCGACCTTTGCCGTGACCTTGCCAGTGTGGGCGATCTTCCTCTTGTTGGCGACCGCGGCCTTGGTAGTGGTTCCACTGGCGATCGTATTGAGGTTGGTAGCGATGCTTTCCGCCGCCCTTGCCATTCCCTTTGCCTTCCGAGCGCTCCCACCACCGCTGCTGGCCTTTGCCGTTTCGACCCTTGCCTCGGCCTCTGCCTCCACGAGGGATGTCGTGCCAAGGGGTCTCGGTGTTCCTTGGGGCGCGTGCGGGGCGATCTGGCTGAACTTCTGTGCTCATGGCCTCTTGGAGAAGCTG